TTTACCTTCACTTTCTGAGTAATGACACTTGACTGTTTCAGGCACCTCCCTACTTCCTGTCTGGATGGAGCATCTGAACAAGGCCGCCAGGCTACCTCAGCCGAGTGAGTAACTAGTTTGCTGGGATGCGGTGAAATAAAGTGATCCGAGCATTGAGTAAACGCGAAGCTAGATGATTCTGATGTCTGGCTTCCAAAAAAATCATCCGCATAACCACAAGTTAGCGAAAAGTCGAGCTGTGTACTCGGAGTTGGCGGACGTGTGGGGCTTGTGGACGGTAGAGGTAAGGGAGTCAATAAATCTTGAAATTCTTCTCGTGGGGAATATCGCAGCTGGGTAGGCGTGACAAGCGGTTCATTAGAAAAAAGTGGATGAAGCTTTGGATCCACTGAAGTCTGAAACTCCCTACAACCAATTATAGAGGCCGAATTCGACGTGAGAATCGGAGAAGAGACTGTGTGTGATAAAGCGTGAGAAGTGCTGCTGTTAGGCTCAGCTCTTTCTCCAGTCTGCTTGGTTATAGGTGTGGATATGGAGATGCTAGAAGAAAAAATAGTAACTGTAGGTTCAGAAAAGGGAGTGCTGTTGAGAGTCTTGCGAGTAGAAGAAGATTGAGTTCCAAGGTTTCCTGCATGTGGAAGTTGTGACAATTGAACCAATGATAAAGTAGGCACATTTTTGGACAAATAATTACCGTCAGGGATGGTTGGTTCTGAATCTGGTATTATGGAGTTGGCCATGTTACTGCATGAGGCATTGATATTAGAACTGGGAAGAGGCGGAATTAAATTTGATTCTAAAAATGATTCCGGGAGAGGACTTCGTTGTAAATAAAGTGGTGGATGAGTTTCAGTCATAGAGAGATCAGAAAATTCCTTACAATCGTTATCAGGTTGGTCGTTGTGCTCTATTTGGGATTGCTTGCTTGCGGCGAACGTCTGCTTCTGAGAGGGAGAAGTGAAGCAGTTCTTACCAGATGAAAGAAGTTCGCGTCCTCTGATTCTGCTTCTCGGGCGACGCTGCTTCTTTTTTGAAGGCAAATCAGAAATCTGCATCGCTTCTGCTAATTTTGGAAATTTGTTCGAAGCTGGCTTCGCTAGTTGTCTGATGAGAACTGGCTGGTGTCCAGTAATCGACGAGACTTCAATTTTGTCGGGTGGCAAAATATTCGGATATGGAAGAATCGAGGTACTAGCGCAAGAGAGGCCAAATTGCGCATGGGTAGATACTGACATAGTAGGTAAAAAGGAAGGAGTATAGGCGATGCCAGAAGTATTAAGGGAAGTAGAAGAGGAGGAAACAGAGTTACTAGCAATAATAGTAGAAGTATTATGAGAAATAGCTTTTGCAGTGGCTTCATTCGGGACAGTTGTAGAAGTATGTCGAAGCATAAGACGGCTGGATCGACGAAGACCGAGCTTAGCTAAACTGTTAGATGAATACAAAGCAGTAGGAGAGGTGGACAGACTGACTCTTGGGCTGGATACTACAATGGCGGCAGTGGTAGATGGAGAGTTATAAGAGGCCAAACTAACAGAAGGAAGAGGTGGTTCTAGTTTCCCAGTTTCAAGGCGCCTGGTGGTTCCAGTGTTGGAGGTATCATGTAGTAGAGTGTGAAGATGGACACTTTGAGACGATGACGACGGCCTATATAGCGTTGGATCAGAACTTAGTGATGTCTGAATAGTATTAGTTCTATTCGTTCTTAAGCGTAGGCCAAGTCGCCGACGGCGTACACAGCACGGTCTATCTGGAAAGGTATAGTTAAAATTAGCGAATGAAAATGTGAATAGTTTGCATTAAGACTAATATGATTCCAATCCAAGAGATAATAAACAGCCAGAAATGCCAAGAGTGCGAATGGCAAGCTAATAAAACTTGACATACATTTTTAGATTTTTCGAATATAAGTAGGTTTTCAAGACTACCAGTATATCATATATAAGAGATGTATTCAATTAACAGTCCCCTTTTGTATATATATATAAACTAAATAAGGTGAATACACATCATATATAAGTTACCTTAAAATGGCTTAGAGATTTAACTGTAATTAGTAAAGAAACAAGTAAATAAGGGCATTTCAGATGTCCTAACATCTGGATTTAACAATTAAAAACGAATAGCATCAATGATGCGGGATATATATGAGTAAATGAGCAACTTTGAAGAAAACTGGTGTTAATGGAATGAGCATACAAAGTATAGCACTAGACCGTAAGCTAGAACCAATCAAAAACGGCTAGTATGGATAGAACTACCAGCGCCGTCCCTACCAGTACAAGTATCGTAAATTCGCCTAGTCTGTTGAGTAAAACATTCATACCAAGAATATTATAGTCAAATGAGTCTAATCACTTTTCTTCCAAAATTTTATACGTGTGCATTTCGGCTAAAAGTTCATAGCATGGCCAAGATAGATCGAGTAGGCTCTGTTAAAATTGATATCCACTACAAAGCAACATTATAAGCTAGAGACTACAACCAAATCTAGGACCTCAGCATCTTGGCCTTAATATCAGACAGCAGAGCTTGGATAGCCAAAGCGACCAACGTTGACCATCATAAATTTAATATTGAAAGCAAAGACAATAAATAATATGAGACGTATTTATTATGCGTATAATCACGACACATTAACTACTACGCCACATTGCCGCAAGTGCCCTCGGGTCAGAGGGCGGATGCGAATTTCAAGGCAGTTCAAGATTTTTCCCACATCACATTCTTTGGTGGGATTGTCGATGAAACAATCAGTTTGGCTACATTTCACGGTCATCTCTCGACTCATGCAACACCAGCGGAGCGACTCACCGGCATTGTCACCACATAAAGCCTCTCCTTTGAACCAACCAAAACGTGGCACTAAAAGTAGACAAGAGTATTTCAAGTCGGAAACTAGCTCGACCGTGGACAGTGCCACATTGCTCCCCTTGCGCCGTCGTTACCCTGCGACCGAATGCTGCCTTCTTGCACTAACACCACACCTCAGCATCGTCTGAGTTTTTTCCAACGTCGAGATCCTCGCCTGTAACTTTCCTTCTTATATATAAGGCACTCTGTAACTCCCTTTCTTGTTCCTCTACACAAAGCTGTGTTAGTCTATACGGTAGCGCGAAGCCGAGCACATATCTATAGTGAATATTAAAAATATAAAAACCAAGATGGTGTGGCCCCTTGTGTGGTCGCAGTCTCCTTTCGTTGTATAAAA